TGTATCAATAGTTGGGCCCAATTCTATGGCACCTACTACGCACACACAAGAAACATACACAGCCAGCTCCCCCGAATTGCAGATGTCACGTCCACATTAATCGGCTGTCAGCCCCAAATAGGAGAAAAACTAGATCCTTGCAGGTTTAAGTTATGTATAAGTACTACACCAATATATTATGATGTATGATCTATCGGGCTTTGCAGAACTGATCAAACTTGAGCTTTGGTCTGGAATATGTGGAGCTGAGTATGGCTGCAGCCACGACGGCGTTGGCGGCCTCGGTGAGGTGCACGCCGTCCCAGCTGATGAACTTTGAGCCGTCAGCGCAGACCGTTGAATTCGAAGACTGGCAGCTCCTGCTCAAATCATAGTTGTACGGTGGCCCTCCGTACCCGCAACACGTCATCAATGGACTGTCAAAACCTGGAGAAATGCAATTGATTTAGTAATATCACCAGATATATCATGTGAATCAAAGACATTTGATCAGCTCACCGTATTTGGTGTGGTTGGCCACAAGGTCATACTTGATGGCAAAGAGATCGGTGTACACAACGGTCGCGTTTTTCAGCTCTACACTCAGCTGATCGCAGAGGCTGCCTAGCGCGGTGTTGAACGCGACCGCAGCCCTGTTGTATGTGCTGAGGCAGCCATTCTGATCAAGGTCACTGTCGTTTTTACGTGGAATAGAGAGCTTCTGAGGCAGGCAGCCAAGAGCCCCTGTTCCGTGTATCCAGAAGTTCCGGCTCCCGTTGCCATACAGAAGCTGCAATTTTTGAAGAAAGCAGAGTTGTGGTTGTCCGTCCTGGCAGCAAGTGAAAAGGGTATGGTAATTTATACTACAAAAGGCAAAAAAAGAAAACTTCACCTGAACAGCATACTTAATCTCCGCAAGTATTGGAGGCAACTTGGCGACTACTTGGTCGTAAGGCAAGTTGGACAGAAGAGCATTAATATCATTCTGTCCTATGTCTATGATATATAGAGCATTTTGGAACGCTTCTGCATCGATTGGAGCTTCCTGGCCTGTGTATAGCAATAAGTTTGCTCATTTACTATCAACTGTATAGCTCCGCGCGTCTTACTTCATTTGGATTTGAGAGAAAATACATGGCAAACAAACCTTGATTGATGAGTTCCAAGGATCTGGCTTTAAAGAAGAAGAATTCCTGCACCTGTCCATGCAATACAAAAAGGGCGTCCCGTGGTAGTGTTGTTGAACCGCTAATAGCGAAATTCACTCCGTTACTGTAATTAGAACCAATTGCCTTCAGATAAGGGCTCAGATAGCTTATGTTTAAGCTTTCACCTGGATATATTTTGGCCATTCATGGACCCACTATTAGTAAGGCCAACAACCATACTCAATAATTAGATACTGCTTCTCATGAACATGTACGTGAGTCAGATTAGATGAGCAAAACACACCAGCAGCAAAGTATTAACTCCGATAAAAGTTGTCGTCTTATTAGACATTAACTTGTATAATATTCAAGATGAAACTTTGAACATCAATTTATGTACAGACATGTAGCCTCACATAAAAATAATTATACATTATAAGAATATGTTTCATGATAACTCTAGTAATACCAATTGATGTTTTTATACGAGTGTTTATCAGAAAGATAACACATTTGAGCCCCAAGTGAAAAAAAAATAATACTTAGGAAAGCAAAATTTTAAGCAGTATACTTCTCTTCAGATAGGGCCCCAAACTAAGGTTTTTTCTTAAATTTTAAAAGCACGCATAAGCTCAAAAAAATTACACACATGGGACACTTTTTTTATTTGAAACCGGGGAACCTTATGACTCAATCCATTAATTAAGAAGAACATAGTTGCCCGGTTAATTAGCAAAAAAACGGGTGAAAACCGTCGCGACCTGTTGATCAGTCACCCACAAGATACGACACACACACCACCGCTAGAGAACCTTGTCGAGGAAGCACATTTTGTCATCCTCACCACTTCTCCCCAAGCAAGCGACTATGACTTCATTGTAGGTAGTCCTGGCCATCTCAGACCCGGCCCTGTCGGCCCACCCAGGACTGGCCCTAAAATCCAGGGCCTAGGCCCGATGGGCTTGCCCATGGGCCGGGCTTGGGCCTGACTTTTGAGCCCACCAGTAGGGCCTGGACGGGCTTGGGCTTGGCATATTGGCATTTTAAGGAAGAGGCCCGGCCCACGGCCCTAAGCCCTTAGGGCTTTTTACCAGATGGGTCGGGCTTGGGCTTGAAAAGTAGGCCCAGTGATAGGGCCTGGGAGGGCCTGGGCCTCAGTTTTCTGCTGTGGGCTCTTTTAGGCCCGACCCAAGCCCGGCCCGGCCCGGCCCATGGCTAGATATAATTGTAGGCGCCCTCTGACCAAGCCCGCGCCGCAGAGGCCGCAAGAAGCCACACGAAGATCCATGCCAGGCAACCAGCCACCCGCGTTGGTGATAGCGCAGCTCTGACTCTGAGGTCAAGCTACGAACGACAACTATGCAAGGCCAGCGCCGCGAAAGACTACCTACCGCTCGTCATCATCATCACCCGGACTCTTCCACCGCAGCTCCGACTTCGCCGTAACAAACAACCAGAGGCAATACCACGGACACGCCGTAGAGTCAACCAACATCATGTAGAATTATTTTCTATAATAAATTCTACATGAGGATAATTGCGTGCTTCTGTGTCCCTCAACTTAGTGGTATAGTCCAGAATAAAGGCAATTAGAAGAGTGGCGTTCTTATAATTAGCCAAAAATAATGGCAGAAGATCAGTTGGCTTCAGGACTAGTTGGATATGTGCAAAGTTCCCTATTTTAGGGAAAAAAACTGTGCCCTTGGTCACAGATTCACATCCCCAGCCGTTGGATTTCAGATAACAGGACAGATCGATCCATCACATGATTGTCGGCACATAAAAGTCCGGTTGTGACATATCTGAAGTTGTGAACAATAATATTATCTCCATCAATAATGAAGAACTGAAGTAGACGTCACTGAATGCATGAGTGCCACCAGTTGGTGCTCAAGCATTGAATGCTGACATGAAAAGTCTGAGGCAGAGTTTGGACGCTGAGGCGCACCGACGCACGCCATTAACTGAAGGTGGAGACAGACAGAGACAGAGGGGCCAACGGGCCTCCCGTGTGGCTTTGAACAGTTGGGCTTTGAATTGATCATGGATATCCTTCGGTTCAAAAGGACAAGGTTTGAAATTGAATGAAGATATGGATGGAGGGACCAACTAATGCAGCGCATGATGCAAAAGAAAAGAAAAAAAATGTTGGTTAGCTAGTACTACTCCGGTGGATAAGTTACTTCAGGTTGAGCCGTGCCACGCCTGCCTACCATCATGTGCATAAGACGGAATGAATATTTTGCTACTGTACATTGCTAGTGAGTCCCTTCAGAATGAAGGGCATTTCACTGAAAATACGACCAAATGCACCGTTCTAGAGTATACGGGATCTGAGTTAAGTTTTCGCGGTATGCGCACAGGCTCTGGCTGGCTTCACTCGAATGAGATTAAGCTGACGACCAATCTGTCAGTGTCAGTGTCAGTGTCAATGTCGGCGAGCGCTGTGTTTCCACTTGAGAAGTTTACCACGGTGCTTTTTTATTTACCACCGTACGCCGCGCACAAATCTACCCGTTGCACAGTGTCGCCAAGCACGGGTTTGTTTGTTCGACGAGGGTAGCGACAGAAAAAGCAGAATCTCGGAGATAGAATACTCTGGTTTTGGGTCGGGGGGATCGGAAACGGAACTCACAGAGGAAGTCGATGACGAGCCGGCCGTCGCAGAAGCGGCCGGTGGGGTGGTGGAAGAAGGCGCGGCCCTCCGGCGGCGCGATGTGCCACCCCTTGGCCGCCGCCATGCCGCCCGTGTCGGAGTTGGAGTCGCCGAAGTTGAACACCACCGGCCGCGCGCCGGGGCGGCAGCTGAACCCGCCCGCCGTGGCCTGCGCCGGCGACGGCGAGAGCGTCAGTGCGAGCGCCACCGCAAGCGCCAGCGCGAGGGCTGGCCGTGGCGCGCTGCCGCCTGCTGCCGCTGCCGACATTGACGACCTTGGACTTGGACCTCTGTCTGTGTATAGCATGTGCAGTGCCGTGCCCTGTCGTGTCCCTCTCACTTTTCTTTCTACTATCTCTCACAAGCCCCGAGTACCGGATTCTGTGAGGTCATGCGCCGTATATGCTCGTCGTGGTGGGGCTGCGATAAATGCCACGACCATGCTGGGATTTGGGCCGGGTCGGGCCAGCAGGCCTCGGCCGCGCCGGGGTCGGGCCAGGCGGCCCGGTCAGCCACCTCCAGTGTGTGAGAGTAAATTACACAGAAGTATCACAATTCGGGTATTGGAACAGATTGGTACCAAGATTGGTAATTTGGAATTTGGGCCGGGTCGGGCCAGCAGGCCTCGGCTTCGCCGGGATCGGGCCAGGCGGCCCGGTCAGCCACCTCCAGTGTGTGAGAGTAAATTACACAGAAGTATCACAATTCGGGCATTGGAACAGATTGGTACCAAGATTGGTAATTTTTACGTGTCAGTACCAATTTTGGAGTGAGAGGTTGCAAAAAAGGCTAAAATTGTTGTTTATACGTATTGACAGGAAACTGACCGGTTGGGCCTGCATGTCGGGTGCTGATGTGGCATCTTTTTTACAAAAAACCCCCTTGCTTTGTACGTAATCCCATAAATGCCCAATTATTTCGGGAAAAAAAGAACCTGTAAGAGCCTTTTTTTTCGTTCGTAATTTACACAACCGATTTGGACTCGTTTGAAAATTTGCGTCGGTTTGAACGAACAAATAAAACAAACGAGAATTAAATCCCGCGCAGGATTTGAAACGCCGACCTGCTGTTCCGCAGCGACGCGTGCTAGCCACCCCGCCAGAGCATCGTTCAAGACATAAAGCAGGCGAAGCACTTTTTATAATAGCTCAGGAACGCTGGGCCGGCCCACCCATGCCTGCAATTTTTTTTCGTTTCACACTTACCTGGCGCGCGTGTTGCGGCTCATTCATGGGAGCTCCTAGTCGGCGCTGTTAGCGCCGATTAGAGAAACTGGCGCTCACAGGGGCACGTAATGGGCCGGCCCATTTGTTTTTCCCTTTCTGCCAAAAACTGCAAAAATTATATGCGGGTAAGAAGACTTGAGAACACTAAACCTCACGAACCAATTCCTGGTGCGCCAACCACTACGCCATGGTAAAACATATGCTTACTATCTTTGTCGGCTTCCTTTTATTCTTTCTGCAGCTCGCGAACCTCAGACCCTTCTGCAAACTGTTTTTTTAATCTTTTTTTCTCTTTTTATGTAACGGTTTTGTTCGCCTTCTTTCTTTCTTTTTTTGCTAAATACGTGCACCATTTGAAAAAAAAATTAAAGATTTTTTATAAAATGCACGAGTTTTTTAAAAATTTGAAAAAAAATCATTGGTTTTTTCAAAAGTTCATCAAATTTAAAGAAAGTTCATCGCATCTAAAAAAATGTTCATCAAATTTGAGAAAAGTTCATCAAAACTGGAAAAGCTTCATCGAATCTGAGAAAAAGTTCATCGAATCTGAAAAAAATCATCAATTTTGAAAAAAAACATCGGATTTGAAAAAAAGTTCATCAAATTTGAAAAAATAGTTCAACAGATTTCAAAAAAAATTCATCAAATTTGGAGAAGTTCATCAGATATGAAAAAAAGTTCATCGGATTTCAAAAAGAAGTTTGTCAAACTGCTTACATAATTTCTTAATTTATAGTGAACATTTTTAATGCATGATGAACTTTTCTTTAGAAACGGTGAACATTTTTCTTATAATATGAACGTTGAACATATTTTGAATGCAAATTGAATATTTTTGTAATATATGTTGAAATATTTTCTTAAGATATGAAGAAAAGTTTACTTAATGTGCGGTGATTTTTTTTGTAATTTATGGTGAGCATTTTCTTAATACACGATGAGTTTCAAGAGCATTATGGTGAACATTTTTTTTATACATGGTGAATTATTTGTATTTGAAGAAATGTTCAGCATGTGTTAGAAACTTATTATGTAAATCATTCTTGCAATTCAAGAGACAGGTCGATTTTTTAATAAAAGTTGAACAGTTTTAATGCATTTCTAAAATTTATTATGATTACACATTTATTTTTAATACATGTTATCAACTTTTAAGTAACAGTGCATTTAAAAAAAATACAATCAATATGCGAGTAACTCAAATAAAAATCTGTGTGTTGGGCATATTTTTTTTAAAGTTGTGTATTTGAATAATATAATTAGGATACATAGTAATTGTGCATGGTTGTGGTCCTCAGCGCAGACAAATTAAATTTGGGCCATGCCTGTGTTCTAGTCTGGTGCTTGACACTTAATAATACTAATATGTAATCGCAAAAAATATATGTATTAATATTCATGATTAAAAAAAATAGTAAACCTGTGTGCAGCCTTGCTGGGCCAACCGCCGGCCCAACGTCTTCGAGCTAGTATAAAAAGTGTCTAGCCTGTAATACGTCGCGAGGGCTGCCGTGGCCGGGTGGCTAGCGCACTGCGCTGGTGAGCCACGGGTCTGCTTTTCGAATCCTGCTCGGGATTCAATTTTGTTTTGTTTTATTTATTCGTTCAAACCGACGCAAGGTCCAAATCGCTGGTGAATATTACGAGCGAAAAAAAAGGCTCTTATAGGAGCATTTTTTCCCGAAATAATTGGGCATTTATGTGATTACGTACAAAGAAAGGGGGTTTTCTACAAAAAACATGCCACGTCGGCACCAGACAGGCGGGCCCAACCGGTCAGTTTTCCCGTCAATATGTATAAACAATAGTTTTAGCCTTTTTTGCAACGTCTCGCCCCAAAATTGATACTGACACGTAAAAATTACCAATCTTGGTACCAATCTGCTTTCAATGCCCCAATTGTGGTAGTTCTGTGTAATTTACTCAGGGTGTCAACTATTAGTCGATAACAGAATGAAATGTTGTGGTCGGGTGGTTCCGTTCGAACAGCGAAGGCGTTGGACGTCGTGTGCCGCATCGATGGGGCGTGCTTGGCCTCCATGTCAGGTCGCAGCGCCGGCCGACGAGGAGGAGCCATCCAGCACCCGTTCTGGCGCCGCCTGATGCCGCCGATGTTTTCGATGCGCCGCTCCTCTTCTTCCTCCCTCGGTGTGATGTGACAAAGAAGAGAAGACGGAGGCGCAGGGGTCAGGGAGGAGGAGAGAATGTGGTGGAGACGGCGAGAGGCACCACCCCTGCCTTGGGGATTTTGTGACCTGATTTTGACCGGTCAAAGGGGAGTTGTTCCATTTGGTTGGTTTCATTCATTCACGTGACGGTACGACTACACGACTGCATAATTCAGGTCCTTCTCGTACCAGAGGTGAGAGTTGTTATGTCTCCCGATCATGGGATCTCCTCGTTTCTTCCAGGCACAGCTAGCCACTGCGCTAGCATCAAGTTTGGAGTATAATAAGTAGGGCGTGACATACTAGAAGGAAAAAGTGCCGGTTTGCACAATGATTCATTTCCTTTTTCCTGTTTCTGCTGTCTTTTTTTTGGGTTTTTTTTCTTTGTATTTATTCGTTTTTCTCGGGGCTGTTTTTTTGTTCCCCCATTTCTTTGATTTTTTGTTTGCTTTTCTTATTTCTTCTTTTTTTTCCTTTTTTTTCGTTCATTGTTTTTATCAGTTTTACTTTTCTTATTACTCATTTTCCCTTTTTTCGTTCATTGTTTTTATCGGTTTTACTTTTCTTACTTTTCAATACTTTTTTGCTTTTCTTTCTTTTTTCTTCTCTGGGTTTTTGTTTTGTCTTCTTTTTTATTTTTATTTTTTATTTTTTCTTTGGTTTATTTTGTTTCTTTTTTTGGTGTTCTTTGTTTATTTGGTTTTCATAGTAAATCTTTTGTATATGTCAACAATATTTTTTCAACATTTTTAATACATGATCAATATTTTTGCTTTACATATTTACATTTTTGAAATGCTTTCTTAACATTTTTCAAATACAAGATTAAAATTTTCAAATACATGGTCGATATTTTACAGATACACACTATTAATTTTTTTCAAACGCTTGACTGTCATTTTTCAAATACAAGATTGACATTTTTCTATACATGATGAACATTTTTCTATGCACATTTTACATTTTTTTCAAATGCTTGATTGACATTTTCAACATTTTTCTATACACATTTAACATTTTTCAAATGCTCGACTAACATTTTCAAATACTTGTTCAACATTTCTTCAAATTCTTGAATAACATTTTTAATATACATGATCAAAAAAATTCATCATTTTTTAATACATGGTCAACATGTTTTCTATACACATTTAACATTGTTCAAATGCTTGATTAACAATTTTATATACATGAAGAAAATTCATCATGTTTTTAATATATGGTCAACATTTTTCTATACACATTTAACATTTTCTCAAATGATTGATCAACATTTTTAAAATATTTATTTAATATTTTTTTGAATGCTTGATTAACATTTTATATACATGCGAAAAAAGACTCATCATTTTTTAATGCACGGTCAACATTTTTTCTATAGAAATTTAACATTTTTCAAATGCTTGATCAACATTTTCCAAATACTTGTTCATTTTTTTTCAAATGGTTGAATAACATTTTTCAAAATACATGATCAAACTTTTTGTACACGCTTTTTTATACATTTTCCGTATACATGATAAACATTTTCTCTATACACATTTAATTTTTTTAAATGCTGGGTCAACATTTTTGAAATGTTTTTAATAAATTGTTTTTTGGAAATTTTAAAGTACAAACACAAGTAAAAGAGATAAAGCAAAAAATTAAACAAAAAAAAGAAGCAAACAAAGAAAACCAATAAATAGAATTATATACAAATACAATTTCTTAAAGTATAAACACAAGTAAAACAAAAACAAAAATGTAAAAAAAAGCAGGTTGTGGCTTCCCCTGCTCCTGGACCGGCCCACCTCGGTCTCCCCTTCAGCGAGGGTTCCTACCCTCTCGCTGGACGCGAGAT